TTAATATCATTGCATAAGACTTATCTCTGCGTATTTTTGTGCCAGGCTTGTGTGTATTGCAAACTCGTATTATAATCGATGTTCATTTTGTATGGCAACAGCTTCACAATTTCTCAGAATCCAATGGTGTATATATTGTCAATATGCAACCAGGTAATCGTGTACATGGTATAACGCGTGTTTATTTTTGCACTGAAAACTATTTTACTTGACTGGAGATATTTTTTTAAAAACACGAGTTCTATATCATGAATATACAAAAGCGCAATTTTAAAATTAAGCCTGCTTGGTACAAATCTAAATATTCTGATTTGTCTTATGTATAAACTATAGTAAAAATATATATGTAGACATTATTTGTAGTAAATAGACAATGAGGCCATTATGACATTTAACAGTAATGAATAATTGTATACATCCTGCGGGGATTATTAGGTCGAGTGACACGAATCTACATAAAAAATAATTACTTCGTCTCGCTAGGAGGCGAGAGACACTTAGTAGCGATAACATACATTAAAATATATAATATAATACTATATAATCTTTGCACCAATTATACTCTATAAATTTTACATCTATTCTGCTGCTTCAGTTTCTTAAATGACATTGAAAATAGTTCACAAATGTAGCTTTTCTGCAAAGCGCTCCAGTTGTTCGCGGGTTCACTGCAGAGCCGTGCATGGCAACCACGCAGGGGTTGTGGAGGGTCTGACACCTGCAACTACAGCTTTGGATTATACACGATGTTTTTGTATTGCAGTTTTCCTGAAATGACATTCGGATTTCATTTGACAGTCGCAGCTCAACCGAAATTCCGCTTTTGACATTCCCCACTCATTAGTGGCTTAAGCCCTTTTCCACTAGGCAAATTCATTCGCTCCACGCTAAGCGATATCTAAAATCCGGTATTGTGATTGGTTTCCGAAAAAAAATTGTCGCGAAAAAGTAGAATCGTTTCCTACTTTTTATCAGTTTGCAGGAATAAATTCGCCCAGTGGAAAACAGGCAAACGTGTCAATGTCCCTTTAGAAACGTCATCGCGCAACGGTTAAAATTAGAATTGTCTACCACCTGGTAATTCCTATATAAATGAAACAGTTAGTTGTAGTGGAAAACGTTTAGCAAACAAAACTTCACAAACAAAATATCTATTACCAAAATCGTACATTTTATAACAACAGACTAGTCTGCTAATTGTCCCTGCAAGAATATACTGGTTTCTATTCTTCAATGTTTTGGGGCGTCAGTTTGCGCTTGAAGCTTGAACATCAGTTTTACTGTCGCTCACAGAGGCTCTGCTGTCTTGCACTGTATCCAAATACGAGAGCATGTCTTTGTCTAAATAACAAAGAAAAATAAAGGGTTATGAAGAAATATAGAGGAGGAATAGAGGATTTACGACGCATATTTTCTACGACTATTTAAACATATTTGTTAACACCAGAATGGTTGCATTGTTCCGCTCGATTCTCCATGAACGTCATGAAACTTCTGTTATTTATCTCCATCAAGTGAAGTGTTAAAATTACATATGATATTTTTGCCCATGCATGCCCATGATATTTTTGTGTGTACAATGAATGATACTATATACGGCAAAGAAATACTACGGCAAAGAAAATTGTAAGAAATACATATTCACAAACATTCACTTGAAATTTGCATCTATGCAATTTCTTGGCAAGCTGCATATTAATTGTCCGCGATTTCTGGCCATGAACGCTATATTTGTTATAAATGGCAGAATTATCCTCTAGCATCCTAGCTGGTTTACGATCCAATCATGTCTTGTTTTATGAGCCACCTAAAGTAAGCGTTTTCATCCTCTTTTTAAGTTTTAAGTTGTCTAAAACAATAATCTTAATGGCTAACGTGTGATTGTACCAAAGGCAACAGTAGTCTGAACAGAATAAACATAAAATACTTTTAACTAGATGTGAATGGAGCATGGAAACCAAACGAAACATTGTTCAATAAATACGAGACATATGTAGCTATAGCTACCGACAACGGAAAAAGTATGGTTTAATTAGCACGTCGGTCGGAGTAGCAGTCGTCCGATTACAGTGGATTAGCAGAGTAAATACAGAACATATTATTAGAACGATTATTACTAAAATGTAAAAGCGCCAGGAAATTATATTTTTCAATATATAATTTGGAAAATTCTCAACAAATGAAAATTCTCATCAAATCTTCTAGTTTACGTAGCACAGCACTAAAATTAATGGAATATTGCTTAGTTAGACAGCACATTAAAATATTTGGGAGTGTTATTGAACATGCTGCATAGTGTAGATATAAAGACAAGCGATATGTTATCATGGACAACACTATCCAAAATTTCTAGATATGGACAGGACAAGAACTCGCTAACAAATTTGATGAAAAAACTGACGAGACAATAATCTCAAAGCAATTATTTAAAAAGTCAGCAGAGTAGTTCTTCTTTTAGATTATCTCCTGTTTCGTTTCTTCGAAAGACTCCTCTTCATTTTGTATTTACACTTGGATTATGTTTATTGTCATGATTCTGGTTCAAGAAAATGGATTCTCTGAAAGTGTCCAAGCAATCAGCGTTAACAGAACTAGTATTTTTTTTGTCACTTGGGGAATTTTCTCGAATTTTCAATGCACAATGCTTTCGATGGGATATGAGAAAGTTCTCAAGGTCTCAAACCTATATTTAGAAAGTTAACCAACTCAAGGCTTCAATTAAATGAATCCTGTAGCAACTCTTATATATGATTTTTCTTTAGAAGCTAGGGATTTTCGCGTGTATCTATACTAAAAACGGAGAAATAATTGACATTTATTTATTATTTAATCTATTCATTCTATATGACTGAAAACAATTTAACGACCATGCACTTTTATAATAGTTATTATGCTCCCTCACACACTCCTAAAACACCCCTCATACACCCCTCATACACCCCCACACACCCCTCCCACACGCTGTTAAATACGCGTCCTCATTCTAAACATCGATCTGTTCGATCGTTGATAAATTTGATAAATTCGATAAATTTAAATTCGATTTGCGTAATGGAAGTATGAATTGAAAAGGCAGTGCTTACGCGCGCAACTTAGTTATAGATCATGTACTTCAGCCAGTTCAGTGCCAAAAGGTCAGTCTGGAAAGATCGAGATCGATTGCATTACATAAGTCAGTAATGTAAAGATATGTTATCGGGAAATCTTTAAACGAGAAAACGAGGATAACGATAAAAAAAATTATATAAGTTCTATGCTAATTTTCTTAGGTCATCAAAGTGAGACATTCCGACGCTAACCGCTATGTGTAATAATTGGTATATTTTTTGACTGCATGCAAATGTTGAGTTAATCGCATTGTTTTCGAACTTACACTCTCACGTAGTGAATTAAGGCTTAGTTTTATCTCACAATCAATCCTGAGAAGATTGAACTGAGTAGGACTATACCACTGTTGAATTAAGATTGAATCATACATCGACCCTGTAAAGGTAAGAATTGGTAACTTTTATATCAATTGGAATTTGTCATCTATTGTAAATCAACCTGTAAATTGCTGATGTAAATATCAGAAAGGAGTGGCTAAAGAGTTTGCAGCGTATATAAAGCACTGTCCATAAATAATCTAACAAAAACCGCGGTTAACTTAGGTCAACCTTGGTTGAACCGAAAACAGACGGAGGTCGAACCGTGGTGAGGTTGAACCTCTGTCGAAACTCAGTCTCACTGACTCTGACAGACATTCTTATGATGTTTTCGATTTGATTATTATGTTGTCGTTCTTATTGTCGTTCGCAGTTCATATAACATTCTGTTCGGAAGCGAACGGCAACCGTTATGATACCTTATATTAAACACGGTTTAACACATTTTGTTATTTAAAATTATCTGAAACGATAAATTTGAAAACTGTTACTGATATTTTTGAATTAGCACCCACTCTGTATTAAATTAAACAATGCATGTCTCTTTCGTTTTTCTGTTAAAGCATTTGAACAGCTATTTGGTTCGATTTCACAGCCTCTTGACTGATGCTCTTTAGCATATAGAAATTCCGAAGATCCATAACTCAGAATTAGGTCCAAAAATATAGTTGAAAGAATATTTATGCACCCAATATACATACTTGATTGATATCTTGCTGCAATATATATGAAATAAAGGTTTCCCAAGGCCTATTACTGTTGTATTAATATATATATAAAGATGTATACTGAGATCATATATGGTTATTACTTCCATTTCGTTTTTGACAATAACTATTAATTGTCTGTTTCAAGGCCATTCTTTTAAATTTGTAAAAAAATATACGAACCGAAGATTTACAGATGTTTTTATTTTAGTTTTTGCTACACGTCTCATTTCTTAGAATCAATTTCCAAATACCGGGAATTGGAGGCTATCAAATTTCATAATATTTAAAATTTAGTCTAATAGGACGCTATGGTCGCTAAAGTAGCTACAACTATATTATTGTAGCGTAGTTTTTGACAGTTATACGAAATTTCTCGAATTGTCAATATAATGGCTAATGGTGAAAGACAGTCAATATAAGTTCTCACGGTCTGATTCAAAGTTATATTTAGAAAGTTAAGCAAAGCTTACTCTTAACACACCCCCGCAGCGCGTCAAATACTCATGCATACACAGTCATGCAATAATATTCTACAGCAATATAGCTACGTTAGCAATGAAAATTTATTAAATCATAAAACTTCTTGAAAAAAAACTGGATGTATACATGCACTATATATCCCAGCATGCATGAGCTCAATAGAAAGTACATCAAACACATATACAGCTGCATGGTCTTGCATTTGCTTATACGTGACTCAGATGATTCGAAAATGAAAATAAAACATACCAATGATTCCGATGAAGAATATGCATTCAAATAAGAAAGATCTCCCGCAATGAGTGATTATAGAATTACAAAGAAAATTTGATGTTTTTGAAATGAACCTATACGTACTGTTGCTTTTGTTGTCGAAGGTCTTGCTTATAAAAGACCAATACTTATAGACTTTAAGGCCACAGCTTTTTCTCGAATAGCGTAAACTGCATGGATCTTTGGGGAAATAGAACAAACATTTGTGTGTGACTATACATACTGCACCAATATTCATCACGCTTACATCGCCGCTGTGTGTATAAATTAAGGTAAGTATTTATCGACTATTTTGCCAGTTATCTTAAAATGTTTTGGCCTAACTTCTTAGCTTGAAAAGCGCTTGAGTCATTTCGTTATCGCTTTTAAACTATAACTTTGTGCTATTTAATCGTCGTATTTCCATGCATATATGCCTTTTCAAATTTGTTCAACTGGCCTGTGAACATACAGCCGAGTAGCATAATTTACGTAGAAAACGTTTTACAATGCAGTAAATTCTTAATAAAATCATTGTAATTTAGTATACTATTCTCTTCAAACATGCAAACATAGCTTTATTTTGAACGGTCACTGTTGTTCACGTTCGTCCGATTTGATTGATCACAAATTAGCTACGGAAAATATCAGTTCATGTCCTTTTGACTTTTGTTGGTTGCTGAAAATATAAGTTATCTGTTTACCGACGATTCTGAAAAGATAGATGTGTCATGCACACCCCTGACGAACGCATGAGTGTTAAATTAAGATTGAATCATACATCGCCATGCACTGTTAAGGCGGATTTCCACTTACAGCGAAATCGTTCACTAGCGAAATATTTACATATTTTCTTTTGAATTTTAACAGCATAAAAAAATTAGTTCGACTTGACTGTTCTCAATTCAAAAGAAAATATGCAAATATTTCGCTAGCGAATGATTTCGCTGTAAGTGGAAATCCGCCTTTAAGGTAAGACTTGGGAACTTTTATACAAGCTTTACATTTTCTTTAAAATTTTGATCAAACATATCCAACTTCTTTCTAAGATTGGGTTTGGAAATATTTTTTAGAAGTAATATAGAAAGCTTGCGCCGCTTCTTTATTTCATTTTGCTGTGCAAATAATTTCTTCGAACCAGTCAGCAAATACCAGGAATTAAAGGCAGCGTCCTGCTGTGAGTATAATAAACGCATGCATGGTTTGAGAAATTAGCACGAACTAAAATTAATAGAATATTGCATAGTTAGACGCACATTAAAATATTTGGGAGTGTTATTGAACATGCTGCATAGTGTAGATAAAGACAAGCGATATTTCCACGGACCACACTATCCAATATTTCTATATATGGAGAGGAAAATGATCTCAAAACACCTATTTAAAAAGTCAGCGGAATAGTTCCTCCCTTAGTCTTAGACTATAACTCCTGTTTCGTTTCTTCGAAAGACTCCTCTTCATCTGTATTTACACTTGGATTATGTTTTTTGTCATGGTTCTGGTTCAAGAAAATGGACTCCATCCTTCGCTTGAAAGTGTCCAAGCGATCAGCGTTAACAGAACTAGTATTGTTAGGGAAGGATATGAGAAAGTTCTCAAGGTCTCAAACCTATATTTAGAAAGTTAACCAACACAAGACTTCAAATGAATCTTTTAGCAACTCTTATATATAATTTTTCTTTAGAAGCTAGGGACTTTCGCGTGTATCTATACTGAAAACGGAGAAATAATTGACATTTATTTATCATTTAATCTATTTATGCTATATGACTGAAAACAATTTAACGACCACTTTCATAATATTTATTATGCCCCCTCACACACCCCTAAAACACCTCTCATACCCCCCTCACACACCCCTCACATATACACACCCCTCACACACGCTGTTTGATACGCGTCTTCATTCTAAACATCGATCTGTTTGATCGCTGATACATGTTTTAGATAATTCAGCATATCTAAATTCGATTTGCGTAATGCAAATATGAATTGAAAAGACAGTGCTTACGCGCGCAACTTATTTATAGACCATGTACTTCAGCCAGTTCAGTGCCAAAAGATTCTGGAAAGATCGAGATCAATTACATTACATAAGTCAATAATGTAAAGATATGTTATCGGTAAATCTTTAAACGAGAAAACGAGGATAATGATAAAAAAAATTATAAAAGTTCTATGCTAATTTTCTTAGGTCATCAAAGTGAGACATTCCGACGCTAACCGCTATGTGTAATAATTGGTATCTTTTTTGACTGCATGCAAATGTTGAGTTAATCGCATTGTTTTCGAGTTTGCATTCCCGCGTACTGAAGGCTTTAAAACTTAAAAGACCAACTACATGTACCGCTAGTGTTAATTCACAATCAAGCCAGAGAAGATTAAACTGCATGAGTATTAAATTAAGATTGAATCATACATCGCCAGTGTTAAGGTAAGACTTGGGAACTTTTATACAAGCTTGACATTTTCTTTAAATTTTGATCAAACATATCCTACTTCTTTGTAAGATTGGGTTTGGAAATATTTTTAGAAGTAATATAGAAAGCTTGCACCCTCTTCATTTTATTTTGCTGTGCAAATAATTTCTTCGAACCAGTCAGCAAATACCAGGAATCAAAGGCAGCGTCCTGCTGGGAGTATAATAAACGCATGCATGGTTTAAGAAATCAGCACGAACCAAAATTAATAGAATATTGCATAGTTAGACAGCAAATTAAAATATTTGGGGTTGTTATTGAACCTGCTGAATCCTGCTGAGTGTAGATAAAGACATGCGATATTTTCACGGACCACATGCACTATCCAATATTTCTATATATTATATGGAGAGGACCATGATCTCAAAACAACTATTTAAAAAGTCAGCAGAATAGAGTTCTTCCCTTAGATTAACTCCTGTTTCGTTTCTTCGGAAGATGGCATCATTATATAAAACATTGTAGAAATACGACGCCATAATCCTTGGAGGAGACAAATGCACGCAGAGATCGATGTTTATTTTAAGTAAAAATAAGAAAAATATATATGCATAGTGCACTCAATTCTAATATATCTTTAAACGAGAGAACTAAGAAAGTTTTATGCTAATTTCCTTTGGGGAAAAAAGTTAAAAAAGTGAGACATTCCAACGCTAACCGCTATATATACCATAATTGGTATCTTTTTTTACTGTATGCAAATGTTGAGGTAATCACATTGTTTTCGTGTTCCGCGTAGTGAAGTCTTTAAAACTTAAGAGACCAACTATAGGTACCGCTAGTGTTAATTTACAATCAAGCCAGAGAAGATTGGACTGCATGAGTATTAAATTAAGATTGAATCATACATCGCCACTGTTAAGGTGAGACTTTGGGACTTTTATACAAATTCTAATTTGTCATCTATTGTAAATCATCCTGTAAATTGCTGATATCAATATAAGCGTGAAGTGGCTAAAGAGTTTGCTGCGTATAATATTGGTGAATATATATATGACGTTTCCGAAGCGAAAGCTATTTTGTTCCGACTATTATAATAGTGATGATACATTAAACACGGTTTAAAAGGCATTTTGATGCTTAGAATTATCTGAAACGATAAATTGAACAATGTCTTTTTCGTTTTTTCTGTTAAAGCATTTTAACAACTAGCCATATCATGCAGGTTCGTTTCTTTAGCCTATAGAAACTTCGAAGATACATAACTGAGAATCATGCAGGTCCAGAAATACAGTTGAAAGAATATTTATGCACCCAATCAATATGCATATTTGAATAATATCTTGCTGAGACTACAATTTTAGCAATTAAGTTCTTTTCTTGGAGCCAGTTTCCAAATACTAGGAATTAGCTGTGTATGCTTTGGAAACGTGGCTAAACCTTTGTTTATGTTTAATGATCAAACGTGTCCACGGTAAAAACAATAGAGTTTTGACATGAAAAGAGTTATATAGCTAGCTATAGCCATAGTGTCTCTTAAAATCGCGAATTGGCTATTTGCATTGGTAATATGATGGTATATTTTCTCATGCGATTAAAGATAAAACATGCATGCACGAGTGAGTATTTTAATTAACGCTTAATGCTCAGCGGATATGGGTTTAGATTTTAGTGCCTGTGTAGCAGGGATTAGCCATATTATACTTAGATGAGTATTTTTAGAAAATTTATATTAGGCAAAACCAGTATTATTTTATTGTATTTCATTGCACTATATATAAGTAATTCCTACTTCCATTTTGATGTTATATATTTGTTAGTAAATAAATTGCAAGAAATGTCGTTAATTTGACCGAAAAATTGATGATAGTACAATTATACAGGGTGTCTCAAAAAAACGCAACCAGCAAGACATTAATACAGATCTAAAGCGCAATAGATAACTAAGATAAGCACCTTTGGGAATTGAAAATGTCTCATAATCCTTTATTTAAAATGCTAAAATTCATTTTAGCTGAACTATGGTGCAAACCCGAACAATCTAAATATTCTTGCATACTTAAGTGGTTGCGTTTTTTTTTGAACACCCTGTACAGTCTAATCAGAGGACTTTCTACAGGGTGTCCCAAAAAAAACGAAAACTATTGAAATCACTCATTGTTAAAATTTGAATGCAGTGTTCACGAATTACAGCCCGTGGGGATTTAATGCAACTTATAAAATGCTAAATGCTTTGTATTGCTATAGAAAGGGGACATGTCGTAGGTCATGATCCTTGAGATGCACATTTAAATAATGTTATCCATATTTGTAAATTTTAAATATTGTTAATAAATATCATTTTCGAACAAGCAAATTTTACTGCATCGTATGCATGCATAAAAATGACTACATGGCAAACATTTATACACCTATTGGTCCCAACAGAGTGCTTAGGCATTCAAACTCTAACAATTGCATTGTTATGGGTGATTTCAATAGTTTTCGTTTTTTTTGGGACACCCTGTAGAAGTATTCAAACATCAGCTATTGTTATTAAAATGCACCTTCATATGCACCGAACATACATGCAAATTACGTTGTTTGTAAGCCTATTGATGCAATTGTTGTGGAAGGTGTTGTGGATGAAAGACTTGTAGATTTCGCTATATTATATACCCACATTTTATATAATCAAAATACGCCTATACATCTCTCAATGACCTGTAAAGGTAAGACTTGATTAACTTTTAATCGATGAATTGATCAGCTGTTTCCTAAGTTATATATTGATCATCTGTTTAGGCATATATGCAGCGCTTTAACTTATACCTATTGCCCATGAACAATGATGCCATTTCAATCTTAATTGTAGTAGCCGCTACTTTTAAAGTTAGCCCGGTACCGTAGTTTTGTGGACTTCGAGTCGTAAAATGCATGTAATTCATATAATATAATGCATATAAACTTTGCCAAGCCAAGCTATATTGTTTTTTTGAAAGATTCAAATCGTTTGTAATCAAGTTTATACCGAAGTTATAAAAGCGCACTTCGATGACTATATAGCTACTTGTCGTTTGAAAATAGTGGTGATTGAAACACACCATGCAGCAGAAAGGACAGAAAGCGTATTTTAAACAATAAAATTAAAACCAAGCAAATTACTTTCAAACAAGACTATATTGTCGTTTCAATAAGCTGAACACTCAAACTCAAAATACCATGGCAAAGTAAACATATTTGAATGGCCAATATTCTTTACATTTTGTCCGATGGGCGATGTTGAACACAATTCTTTCAAAACAAGAAGTACAAACGGTTGATTCTACTCCAATATACAATTAACACACATACCAAATAGGTTTTATTTCTTAAAACCAGTTCCTAAATACCCGGAAATGGAGGCTACATGCAACCATTCATATTGTCCTTGTAGCTACATATTTCTTGTGAAATAATCATTGCCTGACAAGGCCTGCCTCACATAAGTGTATACAATACATATACCATATACAGCATGCTTAGAACATAAAAGTGTGAGAGGCCTATTTTAAACTATCTATATATATATATTATTTAACAAATAGCCTAGAAAACATTTTCCGCGTTTCTATACAGTTATAGAAACACGCGTGGGAGTTTGTGAGAACGAGAAATAATCACTGGGAAAACGAGCCCGTATAGAACGAGTTTTTTATAGGTAGAGCGATAAAACAAACAAAGAGAACAAAAGCAAATTTTGCTGTCGCTATTCCGAGTTTCACGCGCTTAGGCGATCATCAGGCAACTCTCTTTGTTTGTTTATGTGTGTGTATATATATATATATATATATATATATATATATATACATATATATATATATATATATATATATATATATATATATATATGTATATATATATATATATATATATAATTATTTTATATATTATTATATATATTATTAATTGAGATCATTATTTGAATGTAATGTACCTTTATATGCAAATTATAATGTTGAGTTGTTAGAGTTCTGATAAATTTTCTGTTAAACCATATAGTTTGTTGACAACTGAAAATATAAACTAACCAAGTAGAACTGGATCACCTGTAATCAAGCTTGAACTGTACATCATCGCCACTGTTAAGGTAAGACCTGAATTGATTTTGTTTATTTTGGGTTTGTTGTAAGTAATAATTGTCCATTTTATTTGTAAATATGAAATTGGTATGTCGTTTTGCAAAGACATAACCGACTATTAACGGCTTTACATAATTGCTTTAACTTCAAAAAGAGTTCTTTAAAATGTAATTCGGAGTTTTTATATAACAAATATCACTTCAAACTTTCAGTGTCGACTGCAATCACTGCGTAAATATTTTTGGAAAACAGCAGTCGACGTTTAGTCTTTGAGTAGGGGATTTAATTTAGATGTTGTCGTATTTTGATTGTTCAGTGAAATTAAGCTGTGAAAAGCAATAAATAGCCTGTTCAATGCAACCGGAAAATGGGTGATGTTTACTTCGTTTTTACCATTGTATGAAGGAATATCCTGGCTACGCCTCGAAGACTTTTTCTAGACTGGGTCTAGCTGTTTTGACACCTATATATCTGAATCGGCATAAAGAGATCTCCTAAATTATCCGTGAGCTGGCACGACCGGCCGCCGGGCGACGGTACTAATTTCGCCCGGAGATTTAAGCCACTCTTGGAAATGTAAATACAAAATTGAAGTTGTCCGGCATTATGTCATGGACGTTAGGCGTTTTTGTAAGTTATGCGCATGCGTGAATTTAAGATTAGTAGAAACTGGTAACTAGCAGACGTTGCAAACGTTAGATAAACTAAATTAAAATTTTGCTTCGCGTCAGCATTACTACCACTTTAAAACTTTTTTGAAAATGTTTTTTAATAATGGATCATCTTGAAAATATACAGAAAATTCAATGTTCAAATCGATTGAAAGGAAATGTAAAATTTGCCCTCGGAGAGGAAAAACTTTAATTCAAAAGGTAGAGTTTGACATGTGAATTTATCAACAAATATTGGGAGAGCCTTAATTTCATACTTCAAACTTCAAACAAGTTTATAAAGGTGATTCTGATTCAAAAAGCAGCTGAAATTTCTGTAAAAATTTTTAGTACTGTATTTAAAATAATTTGTAGCACAATAGCCCGGCAGTCGACTTAATCAATGTATTTAGCACCTATGCGAAAGGAAAATTTGTGCATTTCTCAATTCACAATGTACTTTATGACAAGGGTATTATTCAAACACTCATTTGTTTTCATGCATTTGTTACGAAGCTGTATAGACGATACGAAAACGCAAGTAAAGCATAAAAGAACATAAAAGACTTATTATAGCTACTTATATATTATATAGATGTTTCGCAAAATAACATTGACTCGATCTTTGAAAGCAAATCTAAATTGCCGATATTCTTCTGGTATAACATATTTAAATTGTCCATATGAAGTACTTTTGCTCACATCATATTCAACAATTATTATTTTACATAAATTTGCAAACACAGTAAGCTCTTTTTCTTAGACTTAGATTGTTTATATCATTAAACTTTGGCGAAATATTCATCAGAATTAAGACGTGCACTTATATAGTTCGTGCATAATATAATAGATGTATACAGAGTATGTGATTTTTAGAGCCAGTTTCTAAATACATGGAATTGTAGAGGCTAGCAGCCTTCATAGTTATTTAGTTTTTAGTAGCACAGCACGTTTAATAAATATAAATTATTGCAATGTGATTTTTGGCAGTTGGTGGGAATTTTTATATAATGCACGATGCTTAAAACCTTTACGTTTTCACGGTGTACTTAAAGTTATATTTAGAAACAACCGCAGGGTTCAAATTTCGAGTTAATTTCATAACAATCCTCATATTTTAAGTGTTTCGTTCATTTACTACATTTATTATATCCAATATTAAAATGTATCTGGGGTACGAAAATACTGATTTATGTAATTTTCATCTGAAACCAGTCTGTTATTAGAAACAACTGGATTTTAGCGTTCAACAGGGGGCGTGTAGCGCGGGCTTAGATGACAGTTTACGAACATTCTAGAAGCATCGGGGTGTCACAAACACGCACACCGCTTTTCCAGCCTCGTACCCAGGCGCTTTATTGGAAAACATAAAGGCTGCATGCCGCTTTTCTCTAACGCGCTGCTTGATAGGCGCCAGTAATTTAATTGTTTTTACAATGGTTGAAAACATGTTTTGGATTCATTTGGCGTAGTTAAATTCGTATTGCTTATTTCAAGCATAAATCGAAAAGTGCTTGGTAGTATATGAAAAAATATATGAAAATGCTAATTCGATTGGGATTTCAAGTAAGAACGTTCAACGTATGGTGAATATATTAATTGTCGATATGTTAATTCAGCTATATGGAAATTCTGAGTAATTTTGCACTTCTGTAATGAAGTCTATAAAAGACCGGCAAGCTTCTGTATCAGCCTGGACAGTTAATCACAAACAATCCTGAGTGGATTTGTCAAAAAAGTACACTACAGTAGAACTGCACCATTATTGAATCAAGTTAGAATCATACATCACCACTGTTAAGGTAAGATTTCAGTTGGTAAATCTGATTTATTTTTCCACCAAATGCATGTCACTGTCGTAACTTGTTAGTTAAAAAATTGTGTGGTCTTGTCAATTACAAAATTGCACATAAAGTGAATACAGTGAATAATGAGTATAATGGGTATATTTTGATCAAACTTGCTTGATCAAACTTGTGATGCTTTGAGCCCGATTTGAAAAACATTTTGATTAACGTTATATACGAATTCAAATCTCCCTACTGCAATTCTTGCTGCAAAGGCAAGACCACGACCGGACAATCTTTGAGTATCGAACTTGTCAGGAATTTTGCTTACTGTTTAATATTGCTTATACACGCGCTTATACATAGCTACGAATATACCAATATTCCGTTGCATAACTGTTAAAGACAACTTAACACAACAGCACACACTGGACTGCCTTTTTATTAAGTAGGTAACCTCAATAGATTTTGTTAAGAATTTTTAATCCCTAACTATTAGGCATTTCTTGTGACTGGATTGTAAACAATATATTTCTTTTGTTTTACTATATTTACATCGAAAAATTAATGAGTTATTCATAATCAGACAGTTTAAATTAAAAGTTTGATGCATGCGTTCTGATATATGCAATCTTTATTCGGAATGACTGTCATTCTATTTTGCTGAAAATATAGGCTGGAATAGGATTTAAATTTAATTTAACTATAGCTATTTTACGCAATATAGCAAATCAATTTCAATAAGTGCCGTACATTTTATATTTTTTAACTTTCTAGAAAAAAATTATCAGGACTGATAACAATTCCAAAACCTAACAAATATACTTTAATTTTGTCTCAACGGTATTATTTCTTAGAACCAGTCCGTAACTACCTGGAAATGGAGACCATACATGGTTAATTCGTTTTTAGTGCCACAGCATTATTACCTAACCTACTCAATTATTGCAATATTGTTTTTGACAGCTGGTGGGAATATTTCGAATTTTTAATTTATAATGCACAGTGATTTTGGTATAGGTAAATAAACAATCTATAATATCATTCACTGTTTTTTTTTTAATATATCCAATTGTGCAAAAGATGTTCACTTGATTTACACAACAATAACCGATTTGAGATTAAACAGGGGACGTGGCGAGGGCTTTTTTACAGGGAAAGACTTTCAATGAAATCCATGGCCATTGCACTTATGAACGCACCAATTTTTGTGCATTCATCCTGTATACACAATACAACAAATAAAACAAATTACTGACCACCTTAGTTAAAATGGTTTTAAAACCGTAGAGGTGTTTCAATTCGTGATGGTTTTGGTTGCCATAAACCAATTCAAACACCCACGTCATATGCAACGTTAATTTCAACACTATGCAGTAAAAATACATGCATTTAGTACCCCTCGCCATTTCAAACCATGCAAGCAAATGATTTTCTGAGGTAGCCAGGGGACCTAAGCTTATATTTTGAAATGACGTCCGATGATAAAAGTGATAAAACTATATTTTACTCATTCATAGCTCAATCGTATCTGTATCTGTGTTGTTTATCCAATGTTTATCGATTGCTTGTGAAATGTTTTCAATGAAGTACATACTTTCCGCTTTCCATCAGGACGTGGCTTATTACCAGTCTTAAGCTTCCAAATTTCGCGCATACTCATAATTAACAAAACAATCCAACGTCGACCGTCCATAAAACCGTAGAAAAACGTCTGCGTATGTTTTCAATTGCGAAAACTATGGCGGAAAAACTGAATATCAACTTTTGAAACAAAACATACCCATTACAATATTGGTAATGTAGTTAAGAGTGATAAGAGTGTAAACACAACAGCCCAGGAGCGTTGTCCAAAGGACACCGCGGAAATTGGTAAGACTTCTCAATACTTCGCAATTCTCAAGAAAAAGATTTATAAGTACTCATCAAAATATGTCTTGCACAAAAGATTTGAAAATAGCGCACGACAAAAACGAATCGTCCTGATTAATAACCTTTGGTTGGTTGGCTAATTAATGCGGATCAGAACTCAGCAAAAAAATTGTACTTTTTAAATTTATGCAATTTTTTTCTCTATCTTTTCTCTGATAGCGATACAGAAATGCACAATTGTGAACCAGTAGATTTTGTGGTTGGAACTTCATGTAAACACCAATTTCTGCGGTGTTGCTTCGAAGTTGCATTTTTTGCATCCACATGTAAAATCATAAGTCCTTGGTATGATGCTCAACTGACGTATTATTTTGAAACATGTAGGATTTGAGCTTCAACTGAAGCAGTCGACCACGTTTCAAGATGTCTTTGTTTAACGTCTTGGTTCTCTTCGTGTATTTGCAATTGTCAACGATAATTTTTGGTCATGAAAATTCAACGAATAATGATGAAGTAAATGGAAAAAATATAAGCATTGTCTCTTGCCAAAAAATTCAATTCGATGAGATAAAATTGGCAGAAGTGTTGCATCGAATGCGGGAACCTGCCATAAACACCGTTGAAATAACAGTGACCGTTGCTTCCGCAAATAGAACTCGAATTTTTCCCGAAATGGTGTGGCCCTGGGCTAGCGAAATTGGTCGAACTTTAATTTCTTTGATTTCTATTGCTAAGACCAGTATTTTCTTTTCGTTGGTTTTTACCTTCCCATTAGAAGTCGGAATTGAAAGAGTTTCTATTGAAGTCACGGAAGAACCCATTGGTTGTTTACTCACGGGAAAGGAAGGATCTGATCAGATTTTCAACTATCTTTTGAATGATCTTTTCTTACACATGGAAGATAAAGATAAAGACAAGTACTACAAGCTCTGTCGTCCGCATGATATTGAAGGGCCCGTTCAGTTCAACTGTTGTCGAATTACAGGCCGTCATGATGAGAACCTAAAAATCTGTGCTGATTATTCTTCTATTGTGCTTGAATGGGCTCGTCTCTGGGTTATAATCATATTATTAACAATATTCTCTTTAATGACGTTACCTTTACTAATGGAACACATGTTAACGTGCCATGAAAAAAAGTTTTACAAAACTTCTTTCAGTCATATGTCTCTCACTTCTATCGTGTCAATGATATTCTTTGAAGGTGATGGGCCAGTTAAATTCCTATTAAGACGTTGTGTATTCGTGGGGCTTATGTTTATAGTTTTTCTTCCAAACATTTTTCAGATTTTGTGGTTGAAAATTGTATTTGGTATATGGGCTTTTTTTTTTTGTGTATATGACTTAGTTGAGATGACGTGGAAAAAATTGAGCAAGCAAAAAACCGAAATATTTGAACCACAGCTTGAGCAAGGCCTGATCGAATGTTTCACAGTTCCGTTATCAACTCCTTTTATATACTACAAATTTTCAATTGCAACAGTTGGGCCGGGTTCAAAGTGCAAGAATTGCTGTACTCGACTTAAGATTCTCATTCGAACTCTCATTTGTGCACTGTTAACTCCTATTTTGATAACATATTATCTTTGTATATTTATCTTTTATAAGTTTCTAAAATGTTTTTTTTTTCCCTATGGCTATGCTGTTCTGCCTGTTCAAGGAGAAAAAAGTGATAAATGCCTGTGTATTTTTGCATTTCCTGTAAGATTTCTTACTTTGGGGGCTATCTTATACTTTACCTGGTCGATTCTTATATTCGTTTTCTCTGTAAGTGTTGGGTTGATTCTAAATGGAGAGATTTTTAATCCTGTCGTTGCCATCGTTATGGTACTGATAGTCTTTTTTTGGAGAAGTTGGCAGTTTTCAGTTGAAGCACAATGTTTGCGACTTAAAACGACCATCATCAACGTTTGCAAGGACAAAGCAAAAAATATTGTTGTCAATAATGGTCCTAATGCAGGAGGCACCACGAGTTCCACAGGTAAACCAACAACTAACGCTCGCAGTAGGAAAAATAGACAAATTTAGGCCTGATTAATTCACACTAGTTCTTAAGAATGGGGGATCAATTGTATTATTTTCCGATAGACAAAACATTTTGCGTACTATAGTGACCCCATAGGCCCAGAAAATGGGAATCCCAAATTCTTACGACAATTGTGAATCAGGCTTTAGCATAAGGACGGGAACGTAAAGAGGAGGTGAAAATGGCCAATAAATACCGTATCATGTCCAAATATAGACGCATCACACCATTTATTCGCCATTTCTACGTTTCTACATTTCTACGACGTCCACGTCCTCTTGCTAAATCTGCCTTGCTGAATGTTTCTAGAACACGGTATCGGTGTCAAGTTACGCGTGCAAAGTTCTGTCCTATAGCAACACTGTTTAAAAAACAACGTTATCAGCTTTTCTATATATTAAATGATTTTTTAATAATTGAGTTTAAAAAGCTTTCTTTTAGCCGCCATCCGGCTCGTCGTAGATGCCTAAGATCCCTAATACATAAATAGCACCCACGTCCCAGCTTCAACTTTCTGTTAACTGAATTTCATTATTCAAGCGTTATTAGTACTCAAACTCAAACCATGTCGCTAATTTAAACGTTACATATAATCAAGCCTTTTTTCATTATCACATGGTCAATCTATGGCCCCATCCCTTTAAACATTTCCTGATATATAAATATATATATATATATATATATATATATATATATATATATACATATATATATATATATATATATATATATATATATACATAGATATATATATATATATATATATATATATATATATATATATATATTATAATATAAATATATATAATAATATATATATATATGTTATTTACCTCCAGATTGGAGGTCCGTATAGGGAAATATTTGCCAAGGTCTCAAAAACAGGAGGGAAATATTTCCCTATACGGACCGACTAAACTGGTAAATAATAGATTTATTTATAATACGGACCTCATATGGACCTTCGCGTAGCCAATCAGATTGCAGGAAACGCTAAAATATGAATTCGGACCACAAGAAAAAAGATAGAAATACGTATTTCGGTAGATATTGCATGGTTGCATGGTCTAAAATTACATCGCTTTATAGAGGACCTTAAATTTGAGAGAGAAAAACTGGCTATTAAATTTGAAGAGAAAACTGGCGAGACAATGGTATCAAAGAAACTTTACGAAGAAATCAGCAAAATAATTCTTCCTTTGGACTATCTTCTGTTTCGTTTTTTCCGAAGAGTCGTCTTCGTTAGTTTATACGCAGTGATTATGTTTATGGTCTTGAGTCTATCGCGGAAAACGGGACTCTCTGCTGGTGCTCAAGCACTTAGCGCTATTGTTGGTATCCTAATACCGTTTATTTTTGACACAATTTACGCCGATAATCATAAAGCACAAAGGAACTCGATAAATATAGCGACAAAGGCCCAGGTTGGGCATCTACTAAAGGTTCACAAACGCGAAAACAACATAATTAGGGTTGAATTAGTCAACAATTTGACAAGTTAGAATTATTTTGTCCTGTGCAGACTATCAGTAGCCTGCATGTGTTTTGGCACACAACCGCGGCTACGCTATTCGAGAATATTTTCGGGGGGCATGGCACTATATTATAATATTAATTGATCAGCCTAAGCCTGGATTCTTTAAAACCATAATCTAAACAACGTAATATAGTCATAGAGTTTATTCTGTAACATCGCATATACAATTAAGAGAACGTAGTTGCGAACTATCCCAATTTTGTGGAACAAAAGAGGCCCACAAGTGAACAATGGGAAGTAGATGAGTAGTCTATTATACAGGGTGTTCAAAAGGCCGATAACTATTGAATTCATCCATAATTATAACAATGTCAATGTAACAGTTAGAGTTTGAATGCCTAAGCATCCTGTTGGAACCCACAAGTGTATAAATGTTTGATAATAAATAAAATTTGTTCAGCTGCACCCATTCACAAATGATTTTTATTAACAATATTAACACTTCACTAGCAATACATGCATGCAGCATACCCTCGCCATTTTAAACGAAGCAAAATATCTCCTGAGCTAGCCAGACCTTACCCTCTTAGCTTATGTTAGGAAATGACCTAAATAAGCCCATAGGCCCAGCATAGCTGATGTTTCAAATTTTTCCGAAAGGTGAAGTAAAATCACCAGTATTCCTGCTGAATTTATTTATGTGAGAGTTGATGCATACTTCACTATATAGTTAAATCTTCAAAACATCAAAACAGCACAAATTTTAAAATCCCCAAGCACTAAACGTCGAATTTTGTTTTCGATTATTGAATTTATGCAGTGATTACAGTCGACTCTATATAAGCTTTAAAGTGATCTTTGTTTTATTAAAGCTCCGAATTACACTTTCAATAATTACTTTTTAATAAAGTTTAGGCGATGATGTATTAAATAGTTGGGTAGCTAGGTCTTCGTAAAACGACATACAAGGTGCTCATACTTATGAAAATAAAATGCATTCTTACACCAAACACGAAATAAACAAAACAGACACCTACCACTTTAAGGATTATAAACTACGAGTCGTTTGTTATTTCTCCACTAGTCGTTCCTATTTCACCAACTGTTTCAGTATGTGTACTGATAATCTTTTAATCTTCTCCCAGTGTTTATACAATTGTTATTTGATTCCATATTTCATTTTGATTAAAGTTTACGAAACATTTTTTCAAAAAAAATGCTGTGCAAAATGACAGTTAAAATACGGACGTTCTTTTTGAGATACAAACTTTTTGCCTTAGCCAATCAGCACGTCGTAGATTACCGTTCTTTACTAGTTCAAATTTCGCGCATGCGTACAAATACCATGAGCATTAAACGTGCAAGGGCCATGGCATTTGGGCAACTTATTTTGGTTTCCGCTATGTTCTGTCACAATACCCGGGTCGGGTGTAATTCCTAATCTCCGGGCGGAACTAGTGAACAACTGACTGCTTATATAATATATGAAAGAAACCTAACCAATTTAAGATGGAGTGGGTGTTCAAAAAAAATACTGTATTGACGTACTTACATTGTTTAATAAGTACATTTAACCATGTCAGAAACATAGTTTAATGCTTGAATACGTACTGCATAGAAATCTGCATTGCAAAATGGCAACCCGATTTAACCGCGCCTCAGAAAAGTATTTTATGCTTCACAGTTCTGACTTCCGTGTTTGCAACATTTAGGTGTTGAGGTCGAAAGCAGCCAAGTTTCAAAATGCCTCTGTCTAACCACCTGACTGTCTTTGTGTATTTGCAATTGTCATTGACAATATTTGCTGATAAGAATTCAACGAATATTAGTGGAGTGGATGGAAAGAATACTAGTTTTATCTCTTGCAAGACCATTCAATTCGATGAGATAAAATTGGCAAAAGTGTTGCATCTAATGCGGGAACCTGCCATAAACACCGTTGAAATAACAGTGACCGTTGCTTCCGCAAATAGAACTCGAATTTTTCCCGAAATGGTGTGGCCCTGGGCTAGCGAAATTGGTCGAACTTTAATTTCTTTGATTTCTCGCGCCAAAACTAGTATATTCGCTTCGTCTTTATATACTTTTGCTTTAGAAGTCGGAGTTGAAAGAGTTGTTATTGAAGTTACGGAAGAACCCATTGGTTGTTTACCCTCCGGAGAAAAAGGATCTAATCAAATCTTTAAACTTCTTTTGAATGATCTGTTTTTTCACATGGAAGATAATTACAAGGACATGTATTACAAATTGTGTCTTCCTCATCATGTTGAAGGACCTTCCAGATTTAACTGTTGTCGAATAATTGGTAATAGGACAATCTGTGCTGATTATGATTCCATGGTGCTCAAATGGGCTCGCCCAGGCTCAATAGTCGTTGTGGCAATATTCGCTATTACGATGTTACCTTTCCTACTAGATCACATAATGACCTATCCAGAAATAACATTTTATAAAACATCTTTCAGTCATATGTCTCTTATTTCTATTATTTCCATGATATTCTTTGAAGGTTATGGACATTTCAAATCATTTCTGAGACGGTTTGTGTTTGTTTTGCTCACATTAATTGTGTTTCTTCCGGTCGATTTTTTTGAATATTCCTGTTTAAAAATTTTATTTTCTATCTGGGCTGCTCTGTTTTGTCTCTACCCTGACAAGCAGATAACAAACGGAGAATTCAACAAACAAAAAGATAAAAAATTAAAACCCTATTTTGGCAAAAACCTAATCTTTTGTTTCACATTCCCTATTCATCTTCACGAAAACTACCGCAAATCTAAAGACAGAACAGACGGCGGATCCGACAAATCACACAGATCGTGCAAGAAACTATTTTCCAAATTAGGTGTTTACATACTTGTTTTCATTTTAGTAATTATTTGTTCTTTAATAGTGTATCCATTCATTGTAGGCGTTTTTTTAATCATATATGTCCTTTTCAATTTCCCATTAGGTTTTGTTGTTCCCCAAACCAGTTTTTGTAAACAATGTTTTCTAAAAGTTATCGAATTCATTTTCGGGACTATTATAAGATTGGTAACTTTGGTGGTTATGGTCTTTTTCACTGGGTCGATTCTTATATTTCTTCTCTCTATAACTGTTGGGTTGATTCTAAATGGGGCGTTCTTCAATCCTTTCATTGCTCCCATCGTCACTCTAATAGTTTTTTTTTGGAAAAATTGGAAGTTCTCGGTTGAAGCACGATGTTTGCAACTTAAAACGTTAATCACTGAAGTTTGCGAGGATAAAATGGAGACGACGGGCACGGACGAAAGCCATGCTATTTCTAACAACGAACCAGAATCATCAGAATGGGACTTTCTATTCTGGTGGAGACATACATGCATTGAAGCAAGTCGTTGTTCAGGTAAAACGATGAACGAACGTACTAATTACCGGCAACATCCGCCAACAACCGACAATTCACAAACATGCCGGCATAAATATACAGACAACGAACCAAAGTCAGGCTGATAAATATAGCACTAAAATACGAGCCTCTAATAAACTTAAACTAAAAGTATTTGTTTATTTAATAAAACATTGTCATCTTTGAGGCCTGAAAATGTGGCGCTCTAGTAAACAAACAACTAGTTTTACTGAATAAAAGTGTTCAGTAAAACATTGTTTTATGACCTCGGGTCGATAGATACAATAAGGATAAACATATGCGTAAGGCTCAGTCACTTGATAGCATAAAAACACTGGAATCCCTGGATAGCATAAATGCTTGACTATAAAGTTCTGCGATAAGATATTTTTCCTTTCATTATATATGGCGTGCGGGTCTTGTGACTACATGCCGTGCGTTGATTGTTTGTGGGTCTGGAATACCCTAGTATTAGACCGTTGACGAAATAACGGTCCAACATATTTCTAAACAAAAAAATATTTCACTTTTATTCTTCACATGAAAAATATATATGTTATTTACCGGATTGCATGGAGGTCCGTATAGGGAAATATTTCCCGAGGTATCAAAAACTGCCCGAGACGTTTTTTGTTACCGAGGGCAATATTCCCCTATACAGACCGACCAAACCGGTAAATAATCTTTCTTTTTTTTCATTATTTTATTCTATCGAGGAAATTAATTAAATGGCGCCAAATAAACAAGATTGATCATGACATATTTATTTTTATGAAATAACATGTATATAACGCGTGTTCTGATTGTTCGAAGCCTGTGTTTCGATCAGGCCATCCAAACACGGAAATTTAAAGTTTCAAAGAATTTAAATTTAAATTCAGGCCTTGTCGTTCGGCTAGTGTTTCGCGCGCTTTTCTTAACTCTTGCAACATTCCCGCGTGTCTGGATCAGGCCATCCAAACACGGAAACCATTTAAGTAATTGTATAAAAATGCGAGTAAAACGAATATACAAGCAATATCCAAGTATCAAAAGAATTAATTCCTTTTTAAAATATATAAAATAGTTTATTATAAGGCAGGAAAACGTTATATAAAAATTCTATTTAGTCCGATTCATTGTCATCACTGGGATTTAAATTTCGCGCGATCCGTACGGCCTGACTCTCCTAGCCATTCAGATTGCAAGAAAGCAATGCCGTACAGTAAAATACCTTATCAACCCGTAACATTCGGTCCGTACTGGAAAATTATCAGACCTCGGTCTTTTATTTTTTCAGGACGGACCTCATATTCGGCTAATAAGTGGTATATAATTATAGATGTTAAAAAGTTAAAAGACGACATTTCGAAGTTATTACAGAACGTCTTAATTAAGTCAATAAATCTTTATTAATTCGAGTTTATTTTTTTATTGCAATCTACTCTTTTATTACATATATAGCTTCTAGAAAATTTTGATACCATCTATACAGCTAGTCATTGTCTGCATTTTTATTTAGCTTGTTGTTAATATTTTTAAGCTTTTGTCTGTGTATTCTCCTTCAGTCGGTAAATTTGTTCCTTTATTGTCGGTCGTTGTCGGTATAGATAGCACGACTCCAACATATTTGAAGTTCTTTCAAGTTTACAATTAGATGTGAGAGATCTATTTAATATTTACAAAGCAAAGGGATCAGTTCAAAAGAATGAATCGAAGTTAACCTCTTGCTAGATTAATAATCCATTTATCGGGTTAAAATGTTACATTTCTCTATAATTTATAGATAGCAATAACAGTCAGGAAAATGGCGAAAATGTTGAAAACAATTACAATGGAGATAAATTACTGGCTATCAAATTTGAAGAAAAAACTGGCGTGACAATGATATCAAAGAAACTTTACGAAGAAATCAGCAAAATAATTTTTCCTTTGGACTATCTTCTATTTCATTTTGTTCGAAGATTTTTTTTCGTATTTGTTTACGCTTTCCTTATGTTGATTGTCTTAATTCTAGCGAAGGATTCGGGGATTATGGAGAGTGTTCAAGCACTCAGCGCTATTGTTGCGATCTTACTACCGTTCATTTTTGACACAATTTACGCTGATCATCATACAGCACAGAAGACCGCGGTAAATATGGCAACGAAAGAAAAACTGGAACATATAATATTGAGAGTTAAAAAACAAAAAGAGAACTTGTTTCTTGTTCAGTTGAAATATCCCAACAAATTTTTCACACAATTGTTAAAATCAATGGAACAATCGCTTAGTGCAATCGAAAAATTGATTGGAGAAAATGTTCGAACAATCGAACCATGGTGGCTAATAACGGAACAATCGTGGAAAGCGATCGAATGCTCGTGGCAGACAATGTTGTCAACACATCAACAATTAGAGCTCATAATACAACAATTAGAGCTCATAATACAACAATTAAATCCCACAATGCAACAAGAACTTTCAGCTCCTACAATCAATGCAACAAGAACAGTCAGATTATTCAATGCAATAAGAACAGTCAGATTCTACAATGCAACAAGAACAGTCAGATCCTACAAGGCAATGCAACAAGAACTGTCAGATCCTACAATGCAACAAGAACAGTCAAATCCTACAATGCAACAAGAACAGTCAGATCCTACAATGCAACAAGAACAGTCAGATCCTACAATGCAACAAGAACAGTCAGATCCTACAATGCAACAAGAGCGGTTAAATCAAACAATGCAAAAATTAGGGATCACCGAGCAACAATTGAAACTAGCAGCCGAAAAGTTGAAGAACGGGCAAGTGACGAAAAATATCAAGCAGTCGTGGGACAAAATCAAACAATACCTAGAATCATGGAAAAAAATCAAAGAAATATGGGGTGGGATCAATATACATGGTATTCAGTTGGAACAACCGTGGGACGATTTTATAAAATTCAAAAAATCATTTGAAAATTTCAAAGAATCATGGGAAAGAAATGAAGAATTAGAATTTGAACAAAATTGGAGAATAATTAAAAGCTGGGTACTGAATGATAGTGGCCAATTGGACATGCATTCCTAGCCTTCCCTCCTGTCATTCCTAACCTGATCGTGGCCATAACGATGGTAAAAAAATTGTGCCAAAATAAGTGACTATTTCAATTTATCGCAAACAAAATTTATGGGGTAGCTGTATGTATGAAAATGTTTTCACTTTAGAAAAACATCAGTTAGTTCGTTTAGTAACTTTTCAGGGGCCGGTTGTATGAAAGCTGGAGAGCGCTATCCACCAGACAGTCGTTTCTTCAATCGCTTTAACATTGATTAAATCTTATAGTAATCTTGAATTGTTGCTCCTTTTTAATAATTGTTGGTTCCAAGGTGAAATATTGTTGTTTGTCAAGCATTTTAGTTCGATTGAAAAAATCACTATCCGATGGATAACGCTATTCAGCCTTCGTACAACCGACCCCTGGTAACTTTGAACAACTGAAATAAATTTCACGGTATTATTATATATTCGCATATTAACCAATATATTAACCTGAAAAAGGATAGCTAACTAAATTCCAATTTGGGAATAGTTTGGGGTTTTTGTAGTATAGATATTTGTTTAGGCATATTTTTCAGGATTGACGTTAAACATAGGGCTTAGTTAGCAATGTGACTGTGTCTGGCATGAAAAGTATGTCAACACTTCATGTAAAATATTTTCCTCCGCATCGATACTTCTTCTGCCTCTTCTTTATAATCTGAAATTTTTATTTGACACACCAACAGGCTATTTATCGGGCTCTAAAAAGCGAATTTAATAACAAAAAAAAATGAAAATCGCAAATCTTATTAAAACAGACGTGTCTGCTAACTATCAGTCCATGGATACCGGTTCTCCAATCAATTAAAAAAATCGAATTTAGATTACCTCCATGCGTAGTGATTATATCAATCTTGGATCGTAATATTTAATCTAAATTATTATTTATATTAACCACATCAAGCTGTCGTAAATGCGTAGGCCGGCAATTTGGAGCAAATTATATTTTCACGAAACCAAAATTTATATATAGGCTTAATGTTAAACCTGAATCAAACGACGTAAGCCATCGGATGACTTGAAACCTGAGACAAGAAAAGGAATGATTAAATGTGAAAGCAAGTCAACTCCATCCGTTGATTTGAGCTTTGTTTGCATATAGTACTGCACCACAAGAACTGGTGTTTCTCGAACGTACCTGCTGGTAAAAACCGATAAACACCTGCGCTGTCAATTACATTTGACACTAATCGTTGGCCATTACCGTCAACAACATTTCACGGATCGCGTTTCCTAAGGTAAGAATTTAAAGTTAATTAAACTTAATTTATATTGATGCATTCTTTCCTGTGACGGTATAAATACAATTATAGTCTACTTTTGTGCTGTCAATAAACCCAAAGTTTAGCATTATTCTAGAACCCATTCTATGCATGAGTTACAACGAACTATTTGACTATGCCTCTTGTGACAGCCCTTCACGACAGGTATACGGAACACTCAGTATATATAGACCTGTTCACAAAATAAATTGATTTTAGCTGCTCATATAAAAGATTTCTTTCCTTTTCCTTGAAAACCCCAACAAATTTTAACATTGCTGAAAATCATAGCTTATACGTGCCTATGTACCTTTGAATTTTAATTACAAAAATAATTTCTAAAGGTTTCATCCAAGAACGAACAAGGTTATATAACTTACCAACATGCATTAATTATACAATATTATACTACAAAATCGGAGAACCTCAGAAGCGTGTTAGTTAAACTTTGTTATAAAATTCTGTGTATAATTTAACATATCTTGGATACATGCGTCATTGTTTGTGTTACGTGGTGAATCTTATAAAGGACCCGTAAGTTTGATATAAACATAGATATAAACCGTCTAGTTTGATATATATAGACATGTTAAAGAGGAAATATAGCTAAATATGGTTCCTTTCTCGTCACGTGTCTATTGTATTTTAGCTAAACGTACCAATGGCATTCGTCTTGCTCAGCTCATCAACCTTGACTTGAAAAATATGTTAATTATAAGATTGCTATTGGTTTATCTGTGCAAAATACAATAGACATGTGATGAGAAAGGAACAATTTTTTGCATAAATCTACCTCAACATAGATAATGAGTTGTATTATTGTAGTTTTATATGGTCTGTGAATCTATAGGTGGGATTGTGGGAAAAGTTCGTGAGGTGCCGCCATGCATGATTAGTACAAAGCGAAAAAAAATGTGAAATTTGATTGTGGCAAACCGGTGCTCAGTAAGCTGTTAACAATCTTAGTTCGAGTATATCTTCCTCTATATATATATATATATATATATATTAATATATATATATATATATATATATATATATGTACGCCCTTAACACTAAATAAGTCCGGGTACTGTGCACGTTAGGAGTTGTGTGTTGAAAATAGGAAAAACTTTAATGCCGGGTAAACGAAAGTAAAACTAAAAACACCGCACAAAGGAACTTAAAAATGAAAAGCCTGGTTGAAAATCACAACATATTCAGTTATTACGTCTGAGCTTGAGTAGGTTTGATGTGCTTAGTCCATTATATTAGCGCGAGTAACAATAAATATAGAGTTGTATAAGTTGTATACAAACAAAGCGTTTGCGGTTCGTATTAAAACCGAACCTGTCCTTCTTCAGCCAATCAGTCCCAAACTTGTGCCTGTTTTGCACGCTTTTTGTAGCTTACACTACCATTATTGAATCTACAACAACATGCACAATTAAATGTATTTCTAAAAACTCCCTATTTTTCTACATCTTTAAATTGCGTTGAAAACTAAATGGTTAAATACACTTTAATTACTATACATTAATACTTAATTAATTGCGATAGTCCCTATTCAGCTTATTCTCTTTAGGCTGGGGTTTAGTGAGCAATGGCCTATATAACAATCTTAATAATTGTTTTACTATGTTACAGGTTTTTAAAAACTGACTGAGGCAACAAGTTATTATTTGGTCGTATCCTACGAGTCAATACGAAATGTCTTTATTTGTGTATCTAAAGTTTGCAGTTTTCATCCTCGCTCTGTCCTCGGCTAGTTTCGCTGAAGAAAATGCAACTTCTTCCACAGGAAAGTACAAAATATTTCAACCGACCAACAAATGACAGCTGTCAATATGACAAATGCATCATCCATTTGCCAAAGCTACAAGCGTAAACTTCAAATTGATGAATCAGACCTCGAGGAAATTCTGAGACTTATGCATATTTATACTACTAATGTTCTAGAGATAGAAGTAACTGTCGGTTCGAATAATAATTCTCTCCAATTCACATGGTATTGGGCAAGCGAAATTGGTCGAACCATCATCTCACTGATTGCAAAAAATAATATTTCGTCGCTGTCTTCCTCTAGTTCTTACCACTTAACCACGCTTAAGGCTGGGATCGAAAAACTGAATGTTGTCGTTTCTGAATCTGAGGATAACTACGGATGTCTGCCAACAGGAATCAACGAGTCTGAAATTGCTTTTAACTTTTTGCTACATAAGCTTTTTCGTCCAGAAGACGCTCATGACTATAAATTATGCCAGCTTCACAGTGATGAGAGGGATGTGAAACAATACAACTGCTGTAGGGTAGCCATGGGAAACCTGACAATTTGCGCTGACTATTCATCAATTATGCTTGAACATGCTGAAAGTTACATAACCTGGGCAGTGGTCTTCCTCTTCCTCTACATTGGTTGTCCTCTGATGCTTAATTATATACTATCATTTCAGGAAGAGAGCGATAGATACGAGATCACTGACAGTCCAATGGCACTTTCATTTATTTTCCATAGTGTATTTATCAAGGCATCGAAGAATCCATCAAAAAAATGTCTTAGAAGATTGGCATTTTCGTTGACAGTCACAGTGATTCTCAGTATTACTTCCTTAGAGTTAGATTGGAATTCGATTATCTTTTTGTCGGTGTGGACATTGTTTTTTACGATTTTCGATATCTTTGAGATGAACGAGTTCTCTAAGAAGCGAATAGGAACTGATAAAGCCAATTTCTTTAAAAAATACCTCTTCCTTTTAACATTACCGTTAAATGTCAAATTCTATTGGACGATTTTTGCAGAGAAACGTTCGCAAAGTGAGCGTTCGCATGCAGAGGATCGTTTCCGAGTACAACGTTTACAAGAAGAGCATCCTTCAGAGGATATTTCACCAGAAGAGCATTCACAAGTGGAGCATTGGCAAGAGGAACGTTCACGAGAATGCCCATCCCTCGATGAGCTTTTTTCAAAGATGGTGTCTTCAGCCTGCTGGAAGCATATGCATAAGAAATTATGGACGTTAATATACATTTTCTTTTCCGTGATTCTATATCCATTATTTGCGTGTGTTACTTTTTCTCTCGCTACCTCCGCCCAGCAGTTAACGTGGTGTATACTTATTTTCAAATATAGCAAGCGCTACGCATATTTGGGAACTATCACTATTAATTTGATAAATTATGCTATGATTCCAATGACTTGCGCTATTGTTTTCGTCTTCGTTACAACTTTTTTAAATTATGTCCTCTTTTTCGTCATCGGTCTATACCTTAATGGATCACTTTACAGCCCAATCGTGACGCCGATTGCAGTTTTTATCGTTTATTCTTGGGGCAGCTGGAGATCGTTGGTAGAAACAAAGTACTTGCAACTTAAAAATAGAATTTACGAAGTTTGCAAGGAACGTGCAAAGAATAGAGGTTCTGCTGAAGATGAATTGCAAATTTTGGATACTTCTTCGGGGGATAATGCCCTTGCTGAAGCAGAAATTCACAATGAAGATCGTTCTGTTGGAGCAGCCTCCTCACGAATTATGTATTCTGTAAACGTTAAGGACGGAGCTATTCCGGAAGCTCTCTATGATAAACTACGTGAAAATATCTTGCCGTATAACGAAGTCTTGTTTTATTTCTTCGTACGAATGTATTTTGTGTTCAATTTTTGTCTTTTTTTGTCTGTTATGATATTATTAGCTCAAAAGTCCAACATTTCGGAGCCTGTTCAAATCATGAGCACATTTGCAATGGCTACACTTCCCCTTCTGTTTACCATAGTATTGGCTGAAAATACATCTGAGCAAAAAGACGCCTATAGCGAGGAACTGAGACAAGAAATCGACAAATTTTTGGAAATAGTAGAAACATCTGGAAATATGGTAATTGTTAATGTGAAATGTGAAGGAAAAAATATGTACATGGCAGAAATGATTGATTCTCTTCGCCATGTTTTATCCCAAATGCAAATGCTATTGCGAGGCAACACACATCGAGTACCTAACTACAGTGAACATCAACCTTAAATTACATAATTATATAAATTGTTAAAATATTTATACATGGGGGGGGGGGGCGTAAGTCATTACTTCCTAAGATGTTTTAACTTGGTACTGTTTACAATAGAGATATATCGGTAGAATTAATTCATAGTTCAAAAGCTTGAAAATATAAACTAATACAATACATAAGTAATTTAGCTTGTAGACACGGCACGTTTACTCCCCCTTACCGTGCATGTGGTGTACCTACAAGCTAAGTTACTTATTGACTGTCACCATGCAAACATGCAAGAATATTAATACAATACAGCTTTGCTCATATATGCATAATTTTGTTCGTCGGACGAATTTCCTTGTAGTTAATTTAAAAACGCAACAGTTTGTAGCTAAATGCTTTTGACATGCAGGGCCTGTTCATCCTGATAGGCGAGAAAATATCTACGCGAATTGGCAAACAATTTTACTAAATTTACCGACAGAAAATATAAAACGTTCAACGGCAATTATATGAAACGAAGGGCTTTCCTTGTATACCGAGATCTCGCCAGTTTACAGATGAAATTTAGGTAACCAGGATATTTTGCACACACACACGTATGAACCAGCACAATTTTCGAAACAACCGTTTTTTCGAAACAACTGGACGAGGAGTTGGTGTAAGCAAGTTCCAACATGCGAATAAACATTTTCTTATATAGTTTGTGCGTGTTAAGCTGTATGTCAGTAAAAAAACGGGGAGTAATTTTTAAAAATATACGTACTTTCGCACAAGAGATCTTCATATACTGCTCAAAACGCTATATGCTCAACTGATATATTATTAGCTATAGTGTAATATATATGAGGTTATAAACATACAGGCATACTTTTCTTTAATTATTGCACCTGCTAATTTCTGAAGTAAATCTTTTAAATGTATAATTATCATAATTTAATCAATAATAAACACGAGAGTGTTGTTTGCTGACGTTTATTAATTACAATTTAATCAACACTAGGTTCAAGTCATTCCCTCAGTTTGCATACTTGAAGCTTGAACATCAGTTTTACTGTCGCTTGCGCCTTGCAGACGCTCTGCTGTCTTGTACTGTGTCCAAAAACGATAGCATCTCCTTATCTAAAAAAATGACGTAGAAATGTCTTCTAATTGGATCTATATATATAATTACACAATGGATGGTCAAGTGTCACTAAAATCACCGTACCATTTTGACGTAGCATATTAAAACCCCTTGAATACAGCTCCAACGCATGAGAATGATATTTGAGCTCACTCTCTGTGAACGCGAGGAGAACAGCGCGGAGTTCTTCAACGCGTTGTTTATCAAATGACTCCAGCTCCTCCTTCAACGAATGAAATGTCTTTTCTGTCTCGACGATCGACGCGTTAAGCGCCGACTGCGCCTTTGTGAACTTCTGCTTGTCCAACGGCTCCGTCTACTTAATCTTTCTAAGATGCTTCTCTTTGCGCATCTCATCTTTCTGAGATTTCAAAGCAAAATCGATGTTGAACGTCGCTTGCTTGCAACGACACCGAGACAACGATAATTCTCCGATAACCTTGTCATAAATCATGGAAACATGTTTTTCTTTGTACTTTCCGACATTGATTAGGATTTTCGAGAATAGTTCTAACGTTTCTCGGAATTTTCCTTTCTCTCCTATGAAAATTTTTTCGATGCTGTTACCAACTTCGTCGTTGCGTTTTTTACTCTTGTTCAAGTCTCGTATAGTCGAGTATTAGAGAGTTTGGGCAATACAACGACAACGGCAACCGCAACGTGTTTATCAACATTGGCATTTATCCTTTAAGACAAAAGAAAATGTAAATTAGGTGGCCTTTAACGTTGCACACTGCCGTAGTTGGTGAAACGACATCGTGACTTACACCAATTCCACGGTGCATGACAACGCGGCAACAGTTAATGTGTTCGATGTTGTTTGGAGTCTTAGAAGCAATTTTGCTGATCGACCATATTTAAATAATTTACAACTGTAGAGGAAAGAGGAAACTTGAAGAGGCAAATCAAGTGAATACTAGATCGTATTTTTTTTTAATACCACAATATTAGGTATATATTTTGCAGTTGCCGTTGCCGTTGTATTTCCCAAACTCTCCACTCGTAGAGTTGCAACTGCGAAACAAATTGGCATTTTTTCGTGAAACAAATTGGCGGCATATTAATGTTTGTGATTTATTCATTATACGGCAATTTTAACCGAAACCCAGCAATGTAACAATGTGTTACATTTACGTTTACATCTTAACATCATTTTCCACGTTGACCGGCAGACATATAGCAACTTAGCAGCCTATACTTCTATCAAAACACGCAAATTTTGTATCGAAATGTTTGTCCGATTAGACTACGCTGATTTCACAGGTATTCAGCAGAGCACTCCGGCGGGAAATAAGCATACGCCATATCACATGAAATGAAATTTACAGATTCTTTCTTAGACCACGCAGCTATTGAAGGGGAGTCTATGATTTTGAGAAAACTATAACAGGTCATGGAAAAAACTCTGCCTTGTAAACGGTCGAGTTCTAAATCTTTGATTATTTCATACGTGGCGTACGTATGCGTTGTACACGTTGTTGCCAATGAACCTCGTGCTGTGAGTAGTTGCTGGGGTTAGAATTGAAGAATGTAATTAAATTTCAACTTTAAATTGCGTCCTATGCATATTGGACGGCATATTGACGTGGGCGGCATTGTTGTTATGAGATAGCGTTGCACGCAAGCTATATATTATTATATTTGCACGAGTGACTTGTTTTTGCGTTCAAATCAGTCCTCAGGTCTTCTTAAACATGTTAATCCTCGTACAAAGAAGTTTATCTCAGTTACTATATTTAAACCATAATATATATTTTCCCATTTCTACAAAGGAAATTAACAATGCACGAGCCACACGTTGGGAACATTACGTTATGCGGTGCATGAGCAGTGGATTGGATATTTTAATTACAAAACGGTTTAGCAGTTAAATTTAATCTATATAATTTCACGAAGTTGCGTCCTATTGGCTGAGGTGGCGTCTGCTCCGGGAAAACAGGTTTTCGATCCACCTGCTTCATGTATTGCAAATAAAATTATATTGACGCAATTTTGCTCCTCATTGCTGTGACAACAAGTCGTCTTCAAGTGAGCTGGAACAATTCATCGTCCACCGTTAACGGGTCTCAGGTACGATGTGTATATTATAGATATGCTTGGGCCATATATATATATATAGTTATACAATGTACAGTACTGTCCAGAGATAACCTAACAAAAGCCGCGGTTAACCTCTCGGTCGTATCGCGGTTGAACCAAGGTCACACCGAGGTTGAACCGCGGTGAGATGGAGGTTAAACCTCGGCCTAACTCGGTCTGACAGACATTTTTTAAGATTTTTTCGATTTGGTTATTGTGTTGTCCTTCTCAGCTGTTCATAACATTTCGTTTGGAAGCGAACGGACACTGCGAAGGTATTTTTCCCCTTTCGGTTGTCAACCTGGTGCACAGAGTGCGCATATTATACCAAAGGGTCCTAGAAATGCAATTTAATGGCAATGTAACTTGATAACGATATTTGTTACTCGTTCTACTAAATTAATAACTACTTTTACTTGTAGCACTTGCTTCTTAACATATACGATATTTAATGAGTTTTTCTCAACAACTGTTCCCGGTTTAATCTTAAGCCGGTTTTCCGCTTGCCATATTTCTCGTGCAAAGCGAATTTATTTCTTTTCAGTTCGATTGTATTTTAACAAATTTCTTAACACCAGATGCTTGCAGGAACGCACCTGCGTAGTGAAAAACGTAGTGAAAAACGTAGTGAAAAACGTAGTGAAAAACGTAGTGAAAAATAAGCCTTATATTTCCGCTCGATTCTCCATGAACGTCATTTCCAACGTTATTTACCTCCATCAAGCGAAGTGTTAAAATTACATATGATTTTTTTTGTCCATGCATATGATATTTTGTGTGTACAATGAATGATACTACTATGCAAATGATCCTACGGCAAAGAAAATTCGAAGAAATAAACATTCACTAGAAATTTGCATCTATGCAATATCAGGGCATGCTGCATATTATTCATTTTTCACGATTCTTGGCCATGAACGCTATATATTTGTTATATAAATGGCAAAATTATCCTCTAGCATCCTAGCAGGTTTGCTGGCAGTTTGTCAATGTTTTTCAAGTTTTCAAAGGATTCCATATTGATATATGATGTTTGTGAACAATCCAGCTTGAAATTTATGCACTAATATGTTCACTTTTGGTCTTCGGGTAATATAGCTAAATACGATCCAATTATATCTTGTTTTATTGGCCACCTAAAGGTAGCGTTTTCACGCCTTCCTCCTCTTAAGTTTTAAGTTGTCTGAAACTATAATCACACGCGTGATTGTACAAACGGCAACAGTAATCTGAAGTGAATACAGCATGGAACAAAACGAAACATCTTTCAATAATTACGGCATTGTTCAATAAATACGAGACATAGCTACGCAACGGAAGAAAATATGGTTTAATTAGTGCTTTATCGGTCCCTTTTTTCATTACGTGGAAAATACATTTATATTAATGTATTCTTTCCTGTGACGGTATAAACACAATTATATAATTTTGTGCAATCAATAAACCCTAAGTCTAAATCTGGAACATGCACATGCACTCTATATATGCATGAGATATGAACAACTATATGACTATGCCGCCTGTGACAGCCCTTTTCGACAGGTATAGGGAACACTCACTTGAGTATATATACACCTGTTCACGAATAAATTGATTTTAGCTGCTCATGTAATAGATTTCTTTCCTTTTCTTTAAAAACCCTAATAAATTTTAGCATTGCTGAAAATAATAGCATATACGTGCCCGGAATTCAAAGGAATTTTAATTACAGGAATAATTTCTAAAGGTGTTATCCAAGAACAAACGAGGTTAAATAACATTAATTATACCAACATTATTTATACAATATTACTACAAAATCGAAGAACTTCAGAAACGTGTTAGTTAAACTTTGTTATAAAATTCGATGCATAATTTAACATATCTTGGATACATGCGTCATTGTTTGTGTTACGTGGTGAATCTTAGGACCCGTTAGTTTGATATAAACATAGATCGAAAATCAAACATGTTCAAGAGAAAATATTCGCAGCTATTTAGATTTATATCGGGATAAATACCGCTGTATTTTTGCGAACTGTAATTTAGTCTTAACAAGCCGTGTAGATGAGAGTGTGTATAAAGGAATCAGAGACAATCACTACAATATCTGAAACATGGGTACAAAAACGTTTATAATATAACATTTATAGTACGCGCGTGCTGATTGGTCGAGAAGCGTGTTTCTATTTAACAATTAGACCACGAGTCCGAGTTGACAACGAAGGCGAGTTGTCTAATTGTTTTAGTATACACCCTGTACCTATAGATACATTAATTTCGAGAAAATAATCGAAATTGCACCGAAAAATAATTTAATTAATTCAATTTTATACGGTCGCCTTCTATTTCTTATTAAATAGTCTTTATACAGATACAGTGGCGAAGCCAGCCTGACGAAGCTAGCCTTCATTTCTTTAGAAATTTATTGTTTTCCCAGTCATTGAACACCAAAATGTTAGCATAGCGGGACAAATCGTCAGGCTGGCTACGCTACTTTACAGTTATTGCTATTTATTGAAGCATACTGAATTGAAGCTAACGACGCGCAGGCTACGCCCTGAAGATATTTCTAAACAGTATCTAGCTGTTTTGATAAACCCTATAAATCTGAATCGGCAGAAAGTGATCTACAAAAGTATCTTTAAAATATTGCAGGTTTTGAAATTTTTCTCTAGCAAGAACCTGCATTTGGTCATAGTGGAAGACGATGGCTTCATTTGCATATCCTACGCTCGCAGTTGTTTCGCTCTTCCTGTTTTTGGCTGTTTTTGCTCACGAAAATTCAACATCTTCACCAGGAGGTAAAAATGTTACAATAGACCAGCCAATGACAAACCTTAATTTAACAAACACAACGAATAGATGCGAAAGCCACAAGCCCAAACTTCGAATTAAGGAATCGGACGTTAAGAATATTATTAATACCATGCATAAATATACTACCAATGGGGTAGAGATAGAATTGACAATCGATTCAAAGAACGAAACGCAATCCTCTCCTAAGTATAAATGGTCTTGGGCAGGCGAAATTGGTCGAACAATTATTTCATTGATAACATATGTAGCAGGCAATACGTTTTTCGGTATTACGCTAACACCAGGGATCGCAAAGGTGAATGTTGTTGTCTCTGAGTTAACTCACGGATGTCTGCCAACCGGAAACAAAGGAACTGAACTTGTTTTCGACTTTCTTCTACACCAGCTTTCTCATTCAGAAGATACTCACGATTATAAGTTATGTCACCCTCACACTGACGAGGACGGCTTGATATTATATAACTGTTGCAGAATAACCACTGGTAACCTGACAATTTGTGCTGACCATGCGGCTACAAATCTGATCGCTAGAGCCCGCGCATACGTAACATTAGTCCCATTTTTCTTGAGTTTTATTTTATTCCCTTTAATTATACAATATTTGCGATCATCGTCGAAGAGAAAAGAATTGGAGAAAGAAGCGGAGAAAGAAGCGGAGAAAGAAGCGGATTACGAAATTATTGACAGTCCATTAGCCATTTCAACAATTTTTTATATGCTTTTTATCGAGGAGAAAAGCTTTCCCATACCTATTGTTAGAAGGCTTTTCGTATGGCTTTTACCTGGATTACTGTTGTTTATAATTTTACCTCTCGTTCCAGCTATCCTTGTATCCGTAGCATTTTTTTGTGTCATGGTGCCATTTGATATTTTCTCACTAAACGACCCGGAACACTATTTTTATTATCAAAGCTCTAATGATTATATATTTACAATCACTTCTCTTTTTAATATTAAACTCTGGGGGAAGCTTTATAGTTCATTAGTGTATTCTCATCATACAACAAGAAGAGAGAAGATTTTGTGGGCTGTTCTTTCCATTATTCTCTTTCCTATCGTCTACATTATTGTTTTTGTTACCGTTATGTTAACTGTAGTGTATGTATTTGCAATGACATTACACCCTAGTACTCATGTCCAACATCACTCTCTGTTGTGGCGTTATGGGAAGTTTGTGTTATCCTTATCTGCAGCATTTTGGTGTATCTTTTCCACTTCCATTTTCATGAATCTTATTTTCCTGATGATTGCTGGTATTTATCTTAATGCACAACTTTACATTCCATACCTCATACCCATTATAGCTGTTGTAATCTACTCGCTAAAGCAATGGAGATTGTCAGTCGAAACAAAGTATTTAGTTCTTAAAATAAACATTCACAAAGTATGCAAGGAATTGTGGGAAGAGAACAAACCAGAAGGAAAAACCGAACTACACGAACTACATGCAATGTTTCTTGTTGATATTACTAATGGAAAAGTTCCCAAACCTCTCTACAACATGACAAGAGAAGCGATTTTGCCATTTGACAGAGTCTTCTTCTATTTCTTTGCCAAAATATTTTTGGTTGCAAATTTCTTTTATCTTTTAATTTTCATGATTTCCTCAGCCCAAGAATCTAACATCTCCGTAACGGTTCACATCATCAGCACAATTACATTGAGCACGTTGCCGTTTATATTCGATACTTTATGGAGAAAAGATACCTCTGAACAAAATCAACTGGATAACATGAAACAAAAAATACAAATAAGGTCCTTGATGACACTGGTGGAAAGAGAAAAAACCGTAGCAATAGTAAGCTTGAACGTAGTTAAAAAGGACACATCTATCATTAATTTCGGTACTTTTTTTCGCGCTTTCAACCCAATTTTGAGCAAGCATTCTTCAAGAAATGTTGCAAGGAGAGGCGATAGCTTTGAAATGCAAAGTTCGCAGCTTGTGGAGCCAAATTGAACAACATCTTTTCTTCTTTTCAAGTTTATGTAAATTGAACGACCAAATCAAGTTAATTAAGTCCATTTCGCCAAAAATTATACATGCTTTAAAATGATCCGTCGCTATTTCACCTGCTGACCTCGTTTTGATGCAGCTTGGAACACATTGAAGTACTATGCCAATTTTTGAAATTTTTGAAATGTAATCACGAAGCCAGCGGCGAGGTCTTGGACTAGTTAGTGAGCATCGTATCCGGTTTTGAACACTTTCGACACCTAATTTAAGATTTACGACGCCAATTGTGACAGCGAAAGCAGCTAATAATAAGTAAATTGAATATTAAAAGTTCAATGGTGCTTCACTAGACGTTGTTGTTATATCTGTTGTTAGAAATCACAGATTCTTGCGTAATGTTTTATGTAAAACGTTTGCATTTCAGTCTTACCTTAAGCTGAAATTTAAAAACTTGTTTTAATAGAGGCTCTTTCCGGCCGTAAACCGATGTCTTCAACCAATTATAACTGTACACAATAGATAATAAATGACATGTTTTCTTTACAACAAGTTAACTGGTTTATTATAAAGCTGTCGTCGTCATGTTGCCGTCCTAAGTCGTAAACTTTCTATTTACTGGCTAATTTCACACCCTGTGTTTGTGAACTTGTAAATTCAATCGTTTTTTGCCAATATAAGGCTTAAATTTTAGGCATAACTTTGTCAGTCGAAAGAGAACAATCATCTCATTATTAATAAATCAACAAGCAAATTACAAATTTATCAATTGTCAAAATTTTGACTTGTCGTTTTCTCAAAAACAATTGTTATTGCTAATAGTAAGCATGATTAGTGAGATTTGATTTTTACTAGCAGTAAACAAACATTTGTAAATAATCTTATAGTATCATAGTATTTCATTGTTAGCACATTGTATGTAACTGATTCATATATGTAATCTTTTCTTTTTTTCTAAGTAAACAACTGCAAATTACCTAATAAATATACTCACCATGAAACGATACTAACAGTACCAATGTTGATGTTAACAGTACCAATGATATCGATAAACTTTGGTCTTGCTGGAAAAAATCGTTCCTTAATGCAGTAAATAACCACATTCCAACTAAAATAATAAAGGATACCAATTCTCTTCCTTGGGTAGATAAAGAAGTTCGCCATCTTATCCGAAAGAAATACTCAGCATTGAAAAGATATCGCCAAAACAAGTGCGAAACGAGAAAACAAAAGCTAAGAGGCTTAAGTGACGCAGTCAAGTCGCTAATTAAAAGGAAACATAGAGAATATCTAAGGAAAATCGAAACATCATTCGCAACTAATCCGAAACTTTTCTGGACCTACCACAAAGCAATTTTGCATAGCAGGTCAAAACAGACTTCTGACATTGTCTTCAGCGGTATTACAGCAAAGTCGTCTGCAGAAAAAGCCGAGCTTCTAAATTCTTACTTCTCCTCAGTATTTACAACATCCAGTACTAACATCAGAGACTGTTATGGCGAGGCGTCCGAAACTGAGCTCAGACTGGGTGAATTAACAGTTGATGTGGCTGAAGTGGAAAATTACCTCAGAAATTTGGATATCACCAAAGCGAGTGGCCCTGACAACATACCAGCACGTCTACTAAAAGAATGCAGTTGGCATATTGCGCCTAGTCTCTGTGAATTATTTAATGTATCTCTGAGTGTCGGACGACTTCCCGCAGAGTGGAAATCAGCGAATGTAACACCAGTTCACAAGAAACATCTAAGAGAACCAGCGGAGAATTACCGACCGATATCCCTCTTGCCCATCATTGCGAAACTATTGGAACGTTGCGTATGTAGGCGACTATATGAACATGTAATCAACGTTATCTCCCCGGGACAACACGGTTTCTTACGCAATCGATCATGCACTACACAACTGCTGCAGGTGCTACATAAGATTGGAGAAAATCTTGACCGAAATATTCAGACAGACATTGTCTATTTGGATTTTGCCAAAGCTTTTGACTCTGTCGATCATGGATTAATCTTGGCAAAACTCAGGCATTTTGGTGTACATTCAAACATGCTAAATTGGTTTACTGACTACTTAACTGGTCGGACCCAAAGAGTCGTCGTTGATGGTGTTGCTTCAGGTTGGTCCTCAGTAACATCTGGTGTACCGCAAGGTAGCATACTCGGTCCAATGTTGTTTGTATTATTCATTAATGATTTACCCGACATCATTCCTGAAAAATCAGAATCTGCCCTATACGCTGACGATACAAAAACATTCAGGAAAATTACTTGTGAAGATGATGCTCGCCAATTACAACAAACTTTAACAAACCTAGCCACCTGGAGCAATACCAACAATATGAAGTTCAACGAGTTAAAATGCAAAGTGTTGACTGTGTCGCGAAAGAAACAACCGGTGGATTTCCCGTATCAACTGGGCTCAACCACTCTTTCTCATGTTGAGAAAGAGAAAGATCTCGGAGTTACAATGACTTGGAATCTTTCATGGGATTCTCATATCTATGAGATTACAGCTAAAGCGAACAAACTGCTCGGTTTATTGAAGAGGACATGCCCTTTCTTAACTGACGTCAGTGTTCGCCGTACTCTGTACCTTTCCTTAGTGAAATCAAATCTAACTTATGCCTGTGAAGTTTGGTCACCATATGTTTGCTCACAGAGGATAAAGATAGAGCGAGTGCAGAGGCGAGCCACTAGATGGATATTGAAAGCTAGGAAGGGTGACACCAGCTACAATGAACGTCTCAACGATCTGAACTTACTACCTTTGTGTTATGATAGAGAGATAAAAGATCTAATCCTCTTCTACAAGGCTCTTTATGGTCTTTCTGATGTCAATGTTCATGAGTATGTCTCGTTTGTTACCCATAACCACTCTCGTCTATGTCGTAATCCCAACCTGTTGCTTAAGATTCCACTGTGCAAAACTACAACATACCAGAACTCGTATTTCAACAGGATCGTGAAATTATGGAATAGCGTTTGTAAAGATGCCCCACCAAATACATTCTCCAGTGTCAAAACATTTAAATACTACCTCTGTAATCATTATTCTATGTTAGTATCGACTGTATTCGACGTAAACTTGTTATGTACCTGGTCCATGTCACGTGTCTGTCCTTGTCATAGGAGTTAATTGTCTCGTTGTGTAAACTTGTTATTAGTGTGTTTATTAGGTAAACTATATTCACATGTATTTTTTGGCAAGGTGCCTCGCATGGATAGCACAAATTTACGTTCCGTTCGCACCTCTTCCAATTGGGTAATACTGTATATGTTCTGTGCATGCATATTATAAGTACGTCTTTTTGTAAATAATCATGTTCATATTTACCCAATAAAGTATTAAATTAATTAATTAATACTGAGTCGTTTATATATTTTTTGAAATCGTCTTGACAGAGCCATTCTAAATTCATAATATATTTCATGAAAAGAGTGTGGTTCAAAATCATGGGCATGCATGGCAGCTAATTTTATTGCCATGCATTAGGCCTAATTTGTTTACGAAGCTGTAGACGATATATACGAAAACGAAAGTAAAACGTGCCGAAAATTCCGATTATTATTATTATTTTATCAATGGTTTAAAATACACACCTTCGCAATTAATTGGATTACGGTGCGTTTACAAAAATTATTGAAGTAGCTATTATTTACAGTATATTTACACATAAAAAAGTTAAGCTATTATTTACAGTATATTTACACATAAAAAAGTTAAGCTATTATTTACAGTATATTTACACATAAAAAAGTTAAGTCGAATCTAAGTTTAAAATCTTATTGCACTACTACAACGATACTCGTTATATATGCTTTCATTTTGAGAACACACGACTACACAGTCATATAATTAATAGCCTTATGCTGTATAATCAGATTATTCTAATCCGTACTTAAAATTGACGCAATATTTATGTAGCTATGTTATTGAAAAGATTTGACCTCTGTAGGAAAAATATGAGCTCTATGTCAAATCTTATTTAACTAAAAATTCTTGGTGGTCACAAAATACCTCTAAATATTTCATAATGAAATACTTTATCCCTTTCCATATTTTAGAGCATCTGCCAAAACTTTAACAGTAGAATATAGGCTACTGATATAGCTAGCATGTTATCTGAATAATACTATACGCTATCTGCGCTACACTGCATGAAAAAAAGTTTTTGTTAGTTGAATATGGGGTCGAAGGCCTGCGTTCCGTAATCCAAACGTCAAGATTTCCGCCCTGAAAAGCAACTTAATACTCCATCCCGGCGCAAAGGTGCACAATTTTTTAGCCAAAACATATAGCAATTACATATACCGCCCTTATAGAAACAGCGGATCGAAACTGTCAAAAATGCGCACATTTTTTTCTGCAAAGCATATAGCAGTGCAGTCGCCCAAATAGACACGACAATCCCAAACGCACGCATAGGAGAGTTTATACTCACCATTATAACAAAAAATCAATCCACATCATCTTCGAGACATCTAATTGTGACACAATTTGTGCCCCCTGCCTACGATAACCCAAGCAAGACTTCTTTAGAAACATTATGTGTTGATGCATAAAATGTATCTACTGACTCTCGTGTCTGGAAAAATCTTATTTGCCTGTCCTGCCTGTCTCAGCTTAGGAATTAATAAGGTTGCATCTACACACAAATTACTTAGGAATTTGCATACAATTTTTGGTTAAGAGAAATTGTTGGTGTTTGAGTGCAGATGCACCTATTTATACTATCGCAGTTTTGTGACCACCCAATTAAAGTACTCAAACCTCTTTGAACCTCTGGCAAACGATGTTCGATTTTACGATGTTCGACTGAACCAAAGCGATCTTGAACAAACAGCAACATTCTTTTGTCATATAGTCTACAAAAATTTCATATAAGCCTTAGTGCCACTTAACAAATAAATTATATGCACACACTTAACAAATAAATATATATGTGCACAAGGCAAAAAACATAAAGTTTTGATCGAGCCAACAGTAATACGAAATCTGATGATCCATGATTTCATCGATAGGGCCCGATTTCAATGCTGACGGGAATTATTTCCAAGCGCGGCTCATGCATAAAGTGTTTTTAATCATACATGCCTTATATCAAACACTACAATCTAGAAATTAATCAATATGCATGTGTTCATACCTTTATATGCACGTGTTAAAACACCTCGACGTATCCATAGATATGAATATCCAGCAAATATTTGGGATAGGGCTTCGCAAAATTATTGGTAAGATCTTTACCCGCGTGCTTATAAACTTGATTGGCGCCATTTCATATTTGTTCACTT